TCCCAGACCCAAACCCTGACCCAAGGATCCCTGTATGCTTTAAGGTACATTCCTTAACCAAGGGTGTTGGGCTCGCCGGGCCCTAAACGCCTTTCAACACCGGAGACTGGGAACGTGTGGCCAGGAATCTGCATCCCGGCCGCTGATGTATGGATCACTTTGCAAGCTCTTTGCCGAGACCTCAGAGGGTGGTTTAGGGTTTCGCGCTTAGGGTTTAGAGCTTTGGGGTTGAGTGTGTTTCGTTTTTTTATAATGAGCTTGGGGGTGGGGGGGGGGGGGGGGGGGGGGGGGGGGGGGGGGGGGGGGGGGGGGGGGGGGGGGGGGGGGGGGGGGGGGGGGGGGTGGGGGTGGTGGTGGTGGTGGTGGTGGTGGTGGTGGTGGTGGTGGTGGTGGTGGTGGTGGTGGTGGTGGTGGTGGTGGTGGTGGTGCTGGTGGTGGTGGTGGTGGTGGTGGTGGTGGTGGTGGTGGTGGTGGTGGTGGTGGTGGTGGTGGTGGTGGTGGTGGTGGTGGTGGTGGTTGGTGGTGGTGGTGGGTGGTGGTGGTGGTGGGTGCTGGTGGTGGTGCTGGGCGGTGATGTACGTTGCGTGACGCGCGTGTGTGTTTTTTATAGTATGTTCCTTGTCCACTGCTCCTCCTCCTCCTGCCCCTCCACCCTTGATCTCCGCTTGGCCCAGACCTTTTTTTCGACCGTGCAAAGACTTGCTCCCTGCAATGCCAGGTGAATGTTGCAGATGCTGCATGGGCATCGGTTCGAAATCATCTTGTAGGCGCAGACGAGGCAGGACGCTGTGATCCATGTCCCCCGTCGGCCCTGACCTACGGCACTTTGCCAGCTGCAGCTTTGCGCAGTTACATCCAAGGCCATAGGACTTTGGTCAAAAGCGGTTTAGGGTTTAGGGTTTAAGGAACTTCTTGTGAAAGTGATGGCCTCGGAAGGGCTCCATTGCTGTAACAGCAGCTTCTCACACTCCCTGCCCCAGGGATGGTTGAGTCCAGCCCCGGCACTTCACGACGTCGACCTCATCGTCCGCTGCGCGCAGAAACTGGGCCGGTGGCCTCAGCTCTGCCAAGAACCCAAGCCCCAAAATCCTTTAGCGTTCAGGGTTTAGGGTTGAGGGTTTAGGGTTTAGGGTTTAGGGTTTCCAAGCCCCTGGAACCCTAAGCTTGTTTGCTGCTCAGGAAGTGGAACTAACTTGCCCTGAAAATCCTCCTTGTTTAGGTTCTTCAACAGTAGCCCTGTAAGGTGCGGGCCTGAGCCGGTAATCGGAAGTTTCTCTATTTGGGGGTTCCCTTCGAAGTTTCTTAGGGCAAGTAAAGGGGGCACCCCTTTCGGGAATTTGGGTGTACCCATTGTTCATTGCTTGAGTGAGGCTTCGGGCATAGAAGGGCCTTTGAGCATCCGAATGTTCGCTAGGACCTTACCCTAAAGCCTAAACCCTAAACCCCCGGTCTTTATTGTTTGGAGGAGTGGGCGTGGTATACACACACATAGAAGAGTGTCCAACAATAAGTTCTCAACCTGCAGCTCGAAACCTTCAACCCCTCAACCCTCATCCCCCAACCCTCAACCCTCAACCCCCAACCCCCAACCCCCAACCCTCAAACCTAAACCCGAACTCCAAAGTCCTGAGCCCAGTGCCAGAGCTTGGTCTCTTCCCAGGCTCTTCCGCACCGAGCCGTCAAAGCCTTCCGAGCCTTTGGCTGTGAGATGTTCGGGCTTGGGTTTTTGAACTTTATATTACTAGGTTGGTTTTTGGGACATTTTTCATTTTCCTTACTCGGGTTCATAAGGGACCCTATCTGTAAATATTTTTTCAGAGGGTTTAAAGGCCAACCCAGATTAGTATAAAATTAAAAACTTGTACGAATATGAAAGTATGATGACAAAATAGTTCCCAACGGCCGGAGGGTTGGGTTTCTATCTCTAGAGGCGGGGGGCCATTTGCCGCCCCGGAGGCCGGAACGGAACTGAACACCGGAACCGAAGGGAACTTGATCTTTGTCTTGCAGCTGTTGGGTTGCACAGCTGGGTGAGTATAACCAAATTAAATCTAAACATAACAGTATATGTAGCAATATAAGAATATTAGAATGTAAGGAGACAACGGTATACTAATATAATGATGTAACACAATACCGAAAGAGCATAGTCATAACGTAATTAAGATAAACATTATCAAGACGCACTCATATACTCGTAGAATGCTCTAAAAACGTACGAATACAACAACATGAAAGCATCTGGCTTTCTGAGAGTTCTGCGGGGGTCGAATGCCTCACGTGCGGGCGAAACTCATCGCCAAGGTCGGAGCCGAAACCCTAAGCCCTAGGGGTTGTAGATTCGAGGGTTCAGGGTGGAAATCAGCGGCAGTTCGGCTACCTCCCGGCGCAGCAACCCACGTTCTTGGCACAACTTGTCGAGTGGGGTAACCTTGGGGGGTCGTAGAATCCTTGTTATACATTCCCAGTCAACATGGGGGGGGCTCTTTTTGGGGTATCCGAATTCTGAGCCTCCAGGATACAGCAGGAACCTAAAACGGGATCCCAATTCATGCAATAGTAAAATGATATAAGGGCATGAAAGTAACATAGTACTAATAGTATAGAAATCTAAGATAGTAACATAATAACACTATAGCCGTATACTATATAAGAGGGAATCTCCCACATCCAAATGCGAAGCCCAGCGCTTGCAGGAAGAGACACCTGGTTGCCTCCCTCGCGGCTCTTCTGTGGCCCCTGCTCGGGCCCCAGAATCTCCACGCTCGGGACCCGAAATTCTACGCCCCTAGTTACGGCTTCGGGCCTCGTAAGTTCAGGCTCGGTGTCTTGGGAGTTTCCCAACATAAGGGACCGCTAATCTCGAGCCCTGATAGTAGGATTCCCTGATAGAAAGGACCCCAAGAAGGTATTCCTTATCTCGGAAACCCGCAAATGCAAACTTTTCGGACCTTTCGGATTATTTTCGGAAATGGTTTTCGCTCTCAACGGCCTCCTTCTGTGACCCAAAACACCCCCCCCCCCCCCCCCCCAAACCCTAAATCCTAAAAACCGTAACTTCAGGCTCCGTGTCCTGATTTCTGAGTTAAGGTTGGAGTTGGATGCCAGCTGCTGCAGCGATGATCAGGCGTTGTTCGGGAAGTTCCCAGAGTGCTTTTCATGTTTATAGGGTTTAGGGTTTAGGGGTTTAGGGTTCAGGGTTTAGGGTTTAGGGTTTACTTAGGGTTCCATTTTGGGTCGCCTCCGGAACCCCCGAAGTATTTAGGCTTCAGGGTTTTGATGAGTTTCGGGTTTAGGGCTTAGGGCTTCGAGTCGGGGATGTTTCCCCTTGTGAGGATGCAGTCCCCCAATAAGATCCTCAGCGGGAACATCCTAAGATCTCAGGGTCCACTGGAGTAGGGTACGTCGGGTTTCTGGCTTCAGGTTTTAAGGTACCCGCGGGAAGTCGAGGCGGGTAGTGCCTGTGTTTTTGCCTGAAAGCCGGAGAGTTCAAGACTTCCCATGCTCGATATCTTTTCCTTCGCCGCTCCTGTCCTACATCGTCCTGCGCCCTGCCCGGGATTCTTTGAGGCCGCTGTTCTGCGGGGATGTTTGGTGAAGCCCCCGACTCAGAGCTTCACGTGCCCACGGGGCCCACGGGATTAAGGATGTGTTGGGTTTGGTAATGTTCACAATTTGTGATGAAATGGTCTCAAAACCAAACTATGTTGAGCTAAACTAAAACCTTCACTCCCAAAAGGCCGCTAAACCCTAATCCCGAAACGCTAAACCCTAAAACCCTAAAACCCTAAAACCCTAAAACCTAAAACCCTAAACCCCAAACCCCAAAACCCCAAACCCCAATCCCTGCGCACTATCAACCCAGGCTCGGCCACCTGGTGCCGGAGCTGTGCGCCGAGGACGACTGTGTGGCTGGACCGCCGTCATTTTCCGGGGCCGAGAGCTTGAACTTTCTAGGTGAAGGGTCTGGGGTTTAGGGTTTAGGGTTGAGGGTTTGGGGTTTAGGGTTTAGGGTTTAGGGTTTAGGGTTTAGGGGGGGGGGGGGGGGGGGGGGGGCAGGGGTAACCCTGAAATCTCCGTTTCAGGTGCCTTGAATTCTCGAGCCCCTCCGCATTGAAAGTGCGAGGTGCAAGTAGGAATCAAAGCGTACAAAATCTATGTGCTTGCAGGTCTATGGCAACCCCTAGACTCAAAACCACTACTTAAACCGACAAACTCTAAACCCCTAAACAATGAACCCTAAACTCCCAAATCCCTTACTCAAGCCCTCAACCTCTAAAGTCCACAACCACTCGATTTTAGGGTTTAAGGTTTAGTGTTTAGGGTTTACGGTTAGGGTTTAGAGTTTGGAGTTTGGGGTTCAGGGCTTACTTGAGGCTCCTATTTGTCTCTGGCTTGACAGTTAGACTCGCCAAAGTGTGGCGCCCACTTTGAATATGGGTGTAGGAGGTTGTTTCTGATGGTCAGCCTACATCTTGACCGACATTGCCCGAAACAGTTTGCAGTGCTCGACTCGCCATGGACAAACTACGCAAGGTGCACGTAGCGTCCTGAAAGGGCACTGGGATCAAGTCATGGGCTACAGTTTAGGCTTCCCCCACGCGGCTTTCACTTCGGCGAACCAGGAAATGCTGTCAGAAGATCTGCCTCAAGTTGAAGGACGGGCCGCACGCTATATATATATATACTTATATATATTTATATTTATACATCTATATATATATATATATATATGTATACATATATATATATGTATACATTTATATATATATATATATAGATGGAGCATGAGTTGCCCGATGGGTGGGTACGCGCGCCTTGTCATGTGCTCGAAGGATCAGCCATTTCGGACACCGCTCTTGCGGCAGGCAGGCTGCTTGTTGTAGCAGATCGGCGGTGTTTCTCTCCATGTGCATGCGTCAACGGCCCGCATTTCAGGGTGTTGTTAGGATATCTTAGCCTTGATTCCAGGCAGCAGGCTGATCAGGACTTTCGGGGTCATGCAGCCGATCCAACTCTACTTCACTAACCTCAAAGCCTTACAGCCAAACCGGTCAGGTCGGCTTCTGACGGTGCTGTTGGCCCCCTACCTCTCGCTGGGCAACACTTCCCTGAATCTCCTGGCCGCCTGAATGCAGAGGAGATTCCTGCTAAGAGGGCTTGGGGGAGGAGAAACCCTAAACCCTAAACCCTAAGCCCTAAACCCTAAACCCTAAACCCTAAACCTCAGGGGCTTCACGCCTAACGATGCTGGTTTCGAGGGAAGACATGCTGGAAGCTTCCCCCCAAAACTCGGGGCCCGACTCCCTGAAGCCCTCAGCCCATACCCAGTCCTCACACCTGAACATTCTTCTTCGTCTTGCTATTGCTATTGTTGTTATGATGATGATGATGATGATGATGATGATGATGATGATGATGATGTTTTTCATTAGTGCTTATATATATATACACATTGTTGATGTATTTATTTCTGTATGTGCCCATATATTTCTCGGTATGTACATGTAAAATCATACTACCCTAAAAGCCTGAAGCCCAGGTGAAGCCGCAGGACCTTTGCTCGGCGGCCACGGGTTTGACCAGTGGCCAGCGGCCGGATACGTTCATGTCCTGGCGCCTCTCCCGCACGGCTCTGGCCTGCAGAGTCTAGGGCAGTATGTGTTATACATACATGCACAATATAGAATACTGGTATAAATGAATAAATAAATAGAAAAATACATATAAATATAAATAAATATATATGTATATGCAAACAAAAGAGGATAATGATAATGATTCGGATGAGGTTTATATACATAAATACCTCGATGATGATCATATTCGGTACTGTTGTGTCCTAATGAAGAGAACTTCCACAAGTAAAATACAAGCAATATCTCATTATGTATTGATGTTAAGTTTCGAATGGTATATAGTGTTATAAAATTCAGTACAATATAACAGAATATTCCATACGATGTCAAAACATATCATAGTATGTAGTATAACTGCTTGCAGGGGTGATTTATGGGGCTTAGAGTTCGGGGCCCAGAGTGAGTTCATCCGCAAGCCCGACCCCGAAACCCAAAACCCGCAACCCTAAGCACCAAACCCTAAACCCCAATCCCCACTCCTTGGGATGTCCCCCCCTTACACGAACAGTCCTTAATAGGGATTATAGTACCTACTGTTAGTATAGGGGGGAACATCCCAACCCACTCCCCATAGACCCCCCCCCCCCCCCCAATTCCCGTGAGGTTGGTGCTCGGCGCGGCTCTGCGTGCCAGCGGCCCCAAAGGACAAGAACTGGAGGAGGCTGGAAGGGTGCTTGCTTTCCTTTGCTGCAGGTGGGGGATTTGGGAAATTCGCGGTTCAGAGCTCAGGGATTTAGGTACTCCGGGTTTTGGGAATTCAGGTTTCAGGGATTTAGGGATTAGGGCTCAGGAAGTCAGATTCTACAGATCCAGAGTTTAGGGATTCGGGGTTTGTAGGGTTTTCGGGGGCTTGAAGGTGGCCCAAACCCTAAACCATTTAGGGTTTAGGGTTTAGGGTTAGGGTTTAGGGTTTAGGGTTTAGGGTTTAGGGTTTAGGGTTAGGGGTTAGGGTTTAGGGTTTAGGGTTTAGGGTTTAGGGTTTAGGGTTTAGCAGGTGGCCCTGGAGAGCTTGATGGACGCCGCGCTGCCGCTGCTGCCGCTCCGCACGGTGGCGTCGCTTACCGCGGGGGTGGCTGAGCTGCAGACAGAGTGAGGTTTAGGGTTTAGGGTTTCGGGTTTAGGATTTAGGGTTTAGGGTTTGGGTTGAGGGTTTAGGGTAGTTAGAAGTAGGGTAAGTACCTTCATGAAGGTTGAAACTCGGGTTGCCAAAATGCCAATGAACCCTACTTGTAACCACCCATGAACCTCCAAGTAGGGTTTAGGGTTGAGGGCTTCTGCAGACTAACTTGCCTTCTTGTCGAGTCATTCTGAAGCAGGTGTTTCGGCCTGGTATGGGATGTCGGTGAGTCAATGCCAACAGCCTAGTTCGCATTTCTGACCGTGGTTCTTGCTTTCACAGGCCATGTACATGCAAGCCATGCTGCCAGCAAACACCGATGTTGCATGTACCTTGCGAAAGCAGCCCGTTGAGAGGTCGTTCTTGCACTCGTGCCGGCATATCTGGGACTTGAGGGTATGCCTCTCAAGCAGCCTCTATCTTATAAGCACCTACGTGATAGGAAGGGCTAGGCAAAACCAAGGAGACAGCTTCTGGTAGTGTCGCGGTGTCTCGTGTCAATCCTCGGGTATGGGGCTTGTGCCTCCCAATTGTCAATCTTCAGCTCCCCACCACGCAGTTTTGCGCCGTTGAACCCTAAACCCTAAGCCCTAAACACTAAAAACACATCCGAAAACCCTACACACCCTACGCCCTACACCCTAAACCCTAAACCGAGACATGCGAACCCCCCGCAACTTCCCCTAAGCTCCAATGCCCACTGGGATCCTGGGCAAAATAGAACCTCAAGCCCACCCTAGACCCTAAACCCTACACCCTGAAACTGAAGCCTACACCCTAAACCCTAAACCCCCCCCCCTCCCAACAACACCATCTTAGATTGGCCGGGCGGTGACGCGCGCCTGCGGAGTGCCCGAGCGGGCAGCAGCCGCCGCTGAAGCGCTGGGGCAGGTCGACGATGGTGACGTTTTGTGGGGGGGGGGGGGGGGGGTTGGGGTGGTTTAGGGTTTAGGGTTCAGGATTTGGGGCTTAGGGTTCAGGGTTAGGGTTTAGGGTTGAGGGTCTCAATGAATTCGGGGCTTTGGTTGCTTAGGGGAGTCAGGGCTTAGAGATTTATGGTGCTTGGGGAGGCTTCACAAATTCCCAATGCTATTACTCATAGTTGCATCATGTTTGCACCCCAACAGCTAAGGTCCCTAAATTATTCAGGCTTGTGGCGTTTACAGGCATGGAGGGGCCACCCCCAGAAGCACTTTAGAACCCCGATTCCGCATGCAGTTGTAATGGAAGCTACCCAAGATACCGACGCTAACGACACGGGCCCCTACATCTGAGGTGTCGCTTCCCGTTTCATAGGCAAGGACTCTCAGGGATGCATTTAGCACGGTTTCGGTGTCAGGGTTCAGGTGGAAAGGGTTTAGAGTTTGAGGTGGTTCTCTTTCGGCTGGTCGCCGGGCACGGTTTCTTCCTTCCGTGCTCTTGGTGCCACTGCATACCTCGAGGTCCCTTGAATAAGGGTGCCCTAGACCTCCAGCCCCGAACCCCTCAAGCTCAGAGGCTCGCTCCTCACAAGCCCTAAACCCTAAACCCTAAACCCTAAACCCTAAACCCTAAACCCTAAACCCTAAACCCTAAACCGTAAAACCTAAAGCCTAAACCCTAAACCCTAAACCCTAAACCTTAAATGCATCTGCAGGCTGCCGGCGCACTCCGACGCGCCGCGGCGCAGAGCATGGCGTACACCGGCGCAGACGAGGTGCCCCCAGAAGCTGGGGGGTGTGCGGTTTAGGGTTTAGGGTTTAGGGTTTAGGGTTTAGGGTTTAGGGTTTAGGGTTTAGGGTTCAGTGTTTCAGGGTTTCAGGGTTTCAGGGTTTAGGGTTGTAGAAGCTGTATGGTGTTTTGTATTTTGGGTTGGAGTTGTATAGGGTGTAGTGTTTATAGGTTTTCGGTAGTTGAACATAAGTTCACAGTTTGGGGCGTTCAAATTCCATCAATCAGTTTGGCTCGCACGAGTACTTCTCGGGGCTTCACTTTGTCCATCGCAGTGGTTCGGTCACAGTTTTTGTTTTGGAAAGTTTAAGCCTTGACATTTCCCACTTCCCGTACAAGAAATGTCCTGAACCTGCCCCCTAAACCCTGAACCCTAAACCCCAAAACCTAAACCCTAAATCCTAAACCCTAAACTTTTAAACCCTAAACCCTGGAACTGTAACTCTTCAACGCTTCCCTGAACTCCGGCTTCCTGGGCTTAGTATGGGTTTAGGGTTTAGGGATCAGGGTTTAGGGTTTAGGGCTTAGGGTTTAGGATTAAGAGGACGTTGATAGCCGTCACGCACACGCGCACACGCGCACAAAGCTTTAAGAGAGACCCACCCTTCAAAAGAACGAGACCATGAGCTGCCGCCGGAGAGCCTTTCAAGACCCGAAACTTGAACCCCTGACATACGCCATGTTCTGAAAAACCTTTGACCCCCTAAACCCTGAAACCCTAAATCCTCTAAACCCCTACACTCCTAAACCCTAAACCCTATAAGCCCCTAAACCCTATAAACCCCAAAACCCTCCCAAAACCCTATACACCCCAAACCCCAGACCCAACCCTGTAAACCCCCCTAAACCTTGCAAACCACTAAACCCCAAGCCCCAAACCCTAGCCCCCAAACCCTATAAACTCCAAACCCTATAAACCCCCAAAGCCTTTAAGCCCCTAAAACCTATAAATGTCCAAAACCCTACAAATCCCTAAACCCCATAAACCCCAGACCCTATAAACCCCCAAACCGTTTGAATCCCTGAACCCTACAAACCCCAAACCTTACAACCCCTAAACCCGATAAACACCTAAACCCAATAACATGTCCACACCCTACAAACCCCTAAACCCAAAGCCCTATAATCCCCAAAACCCCAACCCCATAAACACCCAAACCCCATAAACACCCAAACCCCATAAACACCCAAACCCCATAAACACCCAAACCCCATAAACACCCAAACCCCATAAACACCCAAACCCCAACCCTAAACCCTAACCCAAACCCCAAACCCTAAACCCTAAACCCCAAACCCGAAACCGCAAACCCCACAAACCCAGCAAGCCCTTTGAGAGGAGTGGCGGCTGCTTCGGGGCGACGCCGGAGGTGGCCTGGAGTCGGCCCTGGGGTGGCTCCTGGCGACGGCAGAAGAGCCCGAGGCCGGAGGAGGATAGAGGGCGGCGGGGGGGAGGGTGGTTTAGGGTTTAGGGTTTAGGGTTTAGGGTTTAGGGTTTAGGGTTTAGGGTTTAGGGTTTAGGGTTTAGGGTTTAGGGATGCAAGGATTCCAAGGACATCCTCCTGGGCGCCGTGATGCTGGAGTACCTGGAGGGCCATCGGGCAGCCAGCGAGGCGAGCTGGACACCCGTTTTTGGTCCTGGAAGTGGCTTTTGACACCAAAAAACTCACAACCCTAAAGCCCCAAAAACCGAAATCCGAAACTCCTAAACCCTACAGCAATCCACCCTAAAACCCTAAACCCTAGAACCCTAAAACCCTAAACGCTCAAAGCCGCGAACCCTGAAAGCCCTCAACTCCAACAACCTGGCCCAAACCCTAAACCCTAAACCCAAAACCCTAAACCCTAAACCCTGAAGAATCTAACCCAAAAAGCCCGAGCCAGGCTCCGGACAACGGCGCCGCTGGCGCCGAGATCCGGTGCGAGCCAGGGGAGTCTTTGTCATAGTTGGGGTAGCAATTCACATTTTTAACGGTACTTAAACTCAATAAGGAATAGACTAAACCCTAAACCCTAAACCCAAAACCCTAAACCCAAAACCCTAAACCCTACCATGAACTAGGAGTGGACCTGGCTGAGCCGATGTTTGCCTTCGCCGATGTGGATGGCGCAGCGGGTCGAGGCCTCCCCTAAACCGCCCTTAGGAATGATTTGTTTATTTTCAATTATATTATAGTCACGGGATTGACGTTTTAGGGTTCAGGGTTTCGGGTTTCGGGCTTTGTTTAGGGTTCCGGTGTTTAGCGCTTTGCTGGTTGTAGGCTTCAACAGGGTTGTGGGCTTCAGGGTTGGGGCTTCTGTCTGACCGGCGCTCTAGATGCCGCACTGGCACATGTCCATCGTGCTTTCCAGCTTCGTGTGCAGGTCTTGTTGGGGCATGCCCTTCAGGAACTTGGCTGCAGGCTATTGATAGGGTTAGAGTTTAGGGTTTAGGTTTTATGGTAAAGGGTTCATATGCGCATTCAAAAGTACACAGACATTCACCCTAAGTCCTAGGCCCTAGTCCCTAAAGGTATGTAATCACCCTCTGCCCTCGTCATATCCAAACCAGGAATTGGGATATACGTATGTATCTGCATATACATTGTCATCATTATGCATAAGTGCATACATACCAGGTAAGAACACAAACCCAACAATGAAACATGCACAACTGTACAAAAGTCGAGAGTGTGTGTATATATATATATATGTATTTATAGTGGGCATGTGAGGTAGAGAGAGGGAGAGAGTGAGAGAGAGAGTGAGAGAGAGAGATCCCAGGTGCACATCGACGGCCTCACGATGCACAGCCGGGCGGCTGCATGCGGGATGCTGGCGCTCATGACCGCCTGCCTGGGGGACTCCAAAGCAGCAGCGGCTTCGCCTGAACCGAGGATGCCGCGGGGTTTAGGGTTTAGGGTGTAGGGTTGAGGGTTGAGGGTTTAGGGTGTAGGGGTTTAGGGGTTTAGGGTTTAAGGCTTAGGGGTTTTGTGTTCAGAGTTTTGGGTTTCATGTTGCGAAGGGTTTTGGGTTTCATGTTCCAAGGAGCTACATCTAGGCACTGTTCCCAAAGCTCCAATGCTAGAGTCCAGGATCGAGTGGTGATCTCTCACCTGTTCAACCCGTTCCCCCATCTCTCGCCCACAGCCCGAGGGCGCAATGGCAAGCAACCACACAGTCGCCGGCATCGCCATGAAGTGGCAGCAGTCGGCGCTGTCGGAAGCCTCCTCGGACCCAGGCGGCTCGGGCAGATTGCGGGCAGTGCGCTGCCGGATCCAGGGGTTCCATCGTAATAGAGGTACCTATAGGAAACAAAGGGCGCCCTGCTTTACAACATCCCCTCCCCCGCAAGCCCATAATCCGAACGCCCTAAATCCATAGCCTTCTGAGCGCTTCCTTCACCCTCCATGCTCTCAAACCTCCAAGCTCGGATCTGTAGTGGCAACTCCCTGTTATCCCCTCCCCTTTTCTGGGGGGGGGGAGGTGGGGTGGGCGCGCTGACCTTGTGCCAGGAGCTCATTTAAGGGGTTTGCGCAAAAACTAAGGTCCTCCCTTTGAAGTTCAAATAACATCATCTCCTTAAAAGGACCCCTTCCCGACCCTGGACTCTAAACCCGAAACCCTAAAACCCAAAACTCCTAAAACTCTAAAACCCGAAACCCTAAACCCTAAAACCACAAACCCCTTAAACCTGAAACCCTAAACCCGGAACCCTAAAACCCTGCTAAACCCTAAAACCCTACTAAACCCGAAACCCCCTAAACCCGAAACCCTAAACCCGAAATCCCCTAACCTTAAACCCTTAATCCTAAACAGTGAAACCCTAAACCCGAATTAGCAAACAAAAACAAAAACCTGTTCCAGGCGAGGCGCGGCTCATCGAGTGCATCGCCCTATTCCTGCGTCCCGCCCAAAGTTTGAAACCCCAAAAAGCCTGCTGTAGGGATTACTGTAGGGTTGAGGGTTTGGGGTTTAGAGTTTAGGGTTTAGGGTCAGTTTCTTGGGTTCAAGGTTCCCTCATAAAGTAACCAACCCTCCAAAATTGTGCCCTCATTATATTTAAGATGGTTACTGGGCTACCAAGCAAAAAGCCGATGTTTCTGGTAAAAAATCGAGTGGTTGTGGGCTTCAGAGGTTCAAAGGTGTTTACAGTTCGTTGTTTAGGGGTTTAGGGTTTAGGGTTTAAAGCAGTGGTTCTAAGTCTAGGGGTTACCAAAGACCTGCAAGCACAAAGACTTTTCCTATGCACCTCGCACTTTCAACGCGAAGAGGCTCGAGAAATCAAGGCACCTGAAACGGAGATTTCAGGGTAACTACCCCCCCCCCCCCCCCCCGGACCTAAACCCTAAACCCTAGACTGGGGGGGGGGGGGGCATGAGCTTCAGGCTACAGCAGCTGGCCTCCGCTCCCTCAGCTGCGCTGCAGCGCAGTCCACTGCTGGCCATGGTTTTGGACCGGGGGGGTTTAGGGTTTAGGGTTTAGGGTTTAGGGTGGGCCCTAAAACCCTAGACCCCACAGGAGGTGCCCCAGACCCTAAACCCGAACCCTAATTCAACCCTAATCCCTAAACCCTAACCCATCAACCCTAAACCCTAAACCCTAAACAGGAGACCTTGCAGTGCAAGCAAGGGGTAGCACTGCTGGCGCCCGAGGTCGCCACTGGACTTTAGTTTTTATATTTATGATGATGATGATTATTATTATTATTGCTTTTTTTTGCCGGGGGGGGGGGGGGAGTGGGGGCGGATAACTGCGCTACTTCTCTCGCGGCCCATGGCTGTCAAGGACAGGCAAGTCGGATTTGGGTTTAGGGTTTAGGGTTTAAGGTTTAGGGGATTTCGGGTTTAGGGTTTCGGGTTTCGGGCTTAGGTTTGAATTTGAGGCGGCCGTGGCCCTTTTCCGTGCCTGGGATGTGGCGCAGCTACGAGACCTTGCAGCCGCAGGGGGCGACGTGGCACACGATTGGTTGTGTGGACTTTGCCCGGATGTTGGGTTTTTGGGTCAGAAAGCTCGAAGACAGAGAAATCGAAGCATCGTGCACAGCTTTCGCAGAAAGTGGACCAAGGGCATGCGCTGGGCAAGAGGCTGATTGCAACTTGGACGGTCATGAGAGGACCCAGCCTTGGGGAAGCAGTTCTCTCGCAGGCAAACAGGTGGTCGATGTTTCTGACAGTGCAGACCATGTGCCAAAGTCAAGCTTAGCATGAGCCTTCTCATTCAAATTCTCCAACTGACAGCAGGGTGCCCCATGTTTGGCCAAGGACAGGCTGCAGCAAAGTTTGGTTGCGCAGGCCGGTAGCCATGCGGCATTTTCGTTTTGGGTTTTCGGGATACCCCCCGGGTGGGGCTGGGGGGGGGGTGTGGCTCTAAACAGGGTCCGATTTGTCGATGCCTCCTCAACACGAGAATGCCATCGAAAAGACTCAAAAAGAGGCTTCAGGGTTTACGTAGGGTTCAGGGTTCAGGGCTCAGGGCTCAGGGTTTAGGGTTCAGGGTGCAGGGTGCAGGGTTTAGGGTTTAGGGTCTAGGGCTTCGAGCCTTCGAAGACTCGGCCCGAGTCGCTGATGGATGTCAGAACGAGGGCTCATGGGCACACAAGTAGAGTTGTAAGTATGGTAACTATGGGCTATATCTTTATTTAGGGTACTTAGAACCCTACATAAATTCCCATGAACCTCCAAGAACAAGGGTTCACAGCTGGAGTGCGGGGGCTATCTGATTCTCGGCCTGGTGTGTAGCGTGGAAGGTGTATAGGACCTTCAGGGCTCAGATATCCTATCCCAAACAGAAGCCCTGAACCTTGAACTCTAAACACCTGAACCCCCAAGCCTTAAACCCTAAGCCCCAAACCCTCAACTTTGCAAAAATAACGACAAGCATCAACTATGTCTGTATTCTGATTATCCATATATATATATATATATGGTACCCCCCCCCCCTCCAAAACCCCACGTCTCAGGTCACCAATTCGCAGATTCGCAGATTTGTAGCCCCAAACCAATCTGCAAATCTGCGAATCTGCGAAACCTCGAGAAAACGCAGATTCGCAGATTTGTAGCACCCAAACAATCTGCACATCTGCGAATCTGCGTTTTTCTTGAGAAAACGCAGATTCGCAGATTCGCAGATTTGTAGCCCCCAACCAATCTGCACATCTGCGAATCTGCGTTTCCTCGAGAAAACGCAGATTCGCAGATTTGTAGCCCCAAACCAATCTGCAAATCTGCGAATCTGCGTTTCCTCGAGAAAACGCAGATTCCCAGATTTGAAATCTGCGTTTTTCTCGAGAAAACGCAGATTTGCAGATTTGAAATCTGTGTTTTTCTCGAGAAAACGCAGATTCGCAGATTTGTAGCCCCCAACCAATCTGCAAATCTGCGAATCTGCGTTTCCTCGAGAAAATGCAGATTCGCAGATTTGTTGGGGGGTGCAAATCTGCGAATCTGCGAAACCCCGAGAAAACGCAGATTCTCAGATTTGAAATCTGCGTTTCCTCGAGATTCGCAGATTTGCCTCTTTATGTCACAGATCAAATCATCTGGTGGCCTCAAAAATCTGCTACTTAAATAGGGGCCTTCGTACTTAGACTATGTAATCCGGGGAGGAGAATTAAGTACTTTAAATATTTTAAGAAATAGAGGAGCTTTCATATTTAAATAGATGCCTTAATATCTAAATTGCTGAACTCGGGAGGGACTTACATGCCACTTAAATATGTATATAGATAGTTTAATAATTAATAATTTACATAATTTAAATCCTGAAAAAGGGCCCCGGTCCCCGAGAATGACATAATGAACAAATTTAAATCTGAGGGGGGGGCCGTCAGATTTAAATAGGGGCCTCATATGTAAATTGTGTGATTTTTTGTTTCCCCCCACAAGGAAGGAGCCCCCCCCCCCCCCCCCCCCCCCCCCCC